TTTTTTTGGTGTACTACAGAATAACACACCATTGTTGCAAGCAAAGATTGTGTCAAAAACAAAACAAAAAAAACCTGAGTGGTATACATATAGTTTAACAGCACCCAAAACAAATCGAGCTTCTCAACTGGGCACAGAAAGCACAGTCTGTACGACATGCAATTCTGTAGGTGATCTATTTATGAAGAGGAACTATAAAGCTGTTTTGTAGGTTGTCATCACATGAAGTTCTGCACAGCAGACAGCACTGGCTTAGAGTTTCAAATAAAATGTATTATTGCCTTCCACGCATATGCAAAATTAACCCATTTCTATAAAAATAATGCTGCTATAACAAGTGCTGTTACCTGACTTTAGAATTCCCTTTCAATTACTGTTATAGAACTGCTTTCATGAACAAGATTATTAACATAAGATATTAGCACAGCTCACTCAGCATCACTAAAAGATGGTGGGTTCACAGCACACTAGTACTTGAGCTCACCCTGCATTGTGTCATTAATCCTGCATTGTGTCATGGATTGAGGCGTGGATACACAAAGGGATTTAGGCGTTGCCACACCTATTTTTAGGCACCCAGGAAAAAAAATCCATAGGAACAGTGCTAAGTCTGGGCTGCAGGGAGGTGTCTTGCTCTGCGAAGATCAGGGGTAGGCAACCTATGGCACACGTGCCAAAGGCGGCACGCAAGCTGATTTTCAGTGGCACTCACTCTGCTCGGATCCTGGCCACCGGTCTGGGGGGCTCTGCATTTTAATTTAATTTTAAATTAAGCTTCTTAAACATTTTAAAAACCTTATTTACTTTACATACAACAATAGTTTAGTTATATATTATAGACTTATAGAAAGAGACCTAAAAACGTTAAAATATATTACTGGCACACGAAACTTAAATTAGTGTGAATAAATGAAGACTCAGCACACCACTTCTGAAAGGTTGCCAACCCCTGGCATAGATGATCTACAAACTGAACCCCTCTCCTGGAGTAAGACAGCTTAAGCACCTACGTAGCTTCTCGGGCAGCTTCCTCGCTCCACACAAAACAGCAGCACCAGTGCCATGTCTATTCACCTGATTGCTCTAACCCAGGGGTCGGCAACATTTGGCACACAGCTCGCCAGGATAAGCACCCTGGCGGGCCGGGCCAGTTTATTTACCTGCTGACGCGGCAGGTTCAGCCGATCGCGGCCCCCACTGGCCGCGGTTCGCCGTCCTGGGCCAATGGGGGTGGAGGGAAGCCATGGCCAGCACATCCCTCGCCCGCGCCGCTTCTCGACGCCCCCATTGGCCAGTGGGTCTGCGATCGGCCGAACCTGCCGCGTCAGCAGGTAAATAAACTGGCCCGGCCCGCCGGGATGCTTACCCTGGCAAGCCGCGTGCCAAACATTGCCGACCCCTGCTCTAACCACTGGGCTAAAAGATTTGCCAGTGATGAACCTGGATCTCCCACAATTCCCTTCTCTGCCAGAGAGGGAAAGAAAGGATTCTCAGAAGAGTGCTCTAAAAACTGCTGAGCTATGGGATATTCTGATGTGGTGCTCCCTCAATCTCTCCTGTAGAAGCTGTTGCATTGGGGATAAATAATGAAAGTGATTGGAGCAGGGGGCCAGGACCTATGGCCTCCCACCTCCCAGGTGAGTTCCCTAACCACTGGGCTCAGTTGAACAGGCATTGGGCGCATGAGCAAGAAAGAGACTCTGTAACCCGGTGGTTAGGACACCCACCTGGAAAGTTGGAGACAGAGTCCAATCCCCCTGCTTCAATCACACTTTCATTATTTATCCCCAATGGAACAGCTTCTACAGGAGAGATTGAGGGAGCCCCCACATCAGCATATCCCACAGGTAAGGGCTCTAACCACTAATCTGAGAGGTAGAAGACCCTGTTCAAATCCAGGGATTGAACCTGGGCCTCCCACATCCTAGACAAGTATTCTAACCACTGGACTAAAAGTTCTAATCTGGCTACCACCACTGTCATCCTGGCCAGATTTTGAATAGGATTTGACCTGGTAGGTAGCCTCTCAGTATACCTACTGGATCTCCTAAGAAACATGTATTCTAAAAAAATATAGGCATTGAGTGAATTTCGGCACCTACAGGATTCAGTGCGAGTTTTGTGGATCACAGTGGAGGCAAAAACCAGGATTTAGGTGTCTAAATCTGGGGTTTAGGCCCCTAAGTAGCTTTGTGGATTGGGGCCTGAGTGATCAGTGCTTTCCCAACTCCCACTGAAAATACAATGGGAACTGTGGGTGCTTAATAGCTCTCAGGATAAGGGCCTTGATGAAGATTACACTAGTGAGGCTATACTTTAAATGCGAAGTTAGCCCAAAAGGTTTCTGGTGATGGTTCATGTGCACGGAAGAGTCAGATGTCATTTTTTGACAATGAGGGAATAACTCTAGAGACCCAGCCAGAAATATTCCTTAATAGCCAAACTGTGTATGAGCTGTTGGCTCTGCCAACAATCAATACATTAGGAACATTAAACTTTTCTGTCACTTTCTGATTCAAGATACGGAGTGCATAAAATTTGCCATATCGAAATAAATGATATCAATACAATTCCAATAAAAGTGATACTGAAGGTACGTTCACAACTTAAATTGCTTTTTAAAAAATGCATTGAGTATCAAAGGAGTCATGTTACATAATTTTCTCCCTCCTCTTCAAATAATCTCTTCTTTATACTAATCTCAATTGCATAAACTCTATACCTGATAGTCTTGTGTGGGCCACACAAGACTAACATAAAAGATTTTATGTTTCTGGGATACTACAAGTGTAGTATTTTATGGTTAACACTGCTGCAAAACCTTTTCTCAGGATATTGTGAAATGCAAACTCTCAGCTGAAAGACACACTGGGCAAGATACAGAAAATATACAACTCACCAATGCTGCCACCTACAGAGTATTAACAAGTGCTATATTGTTAAAATCAAATGTGCAGAATATCATTCATCAAGCCTTTTCAGTTCAAGTTACTATCTATATGGTATGTGCAAACATCATTCCAGTATAAGTAACAAAAAGGGAGGAATAGTAGCCAAAAACTCAATAGCCAATAAGATTGGGTTTTTTTAAAAAACACGCAGCTATGTCAGTTCAAGGTTTTACTTTTCCTTTCAGTTAAAAACATTGTAATTACAAGTCCTTCTGTGAATAAACTGATGTCATCTGTGAAGTTTTTCACTTCACGATTGTTGATCTCATTTTACTTCCTACTCTGTAAAGTTTATGACAACTCATCCACCTCCATTATACATGTTCCTGTATCACATCAATTCTTTTACTTTCTACTTCTAAATGCAATATGCTCTGTTGATAATACCGATACAGAAAATTCTACACAGATATAGAAGACAAATATTAAATGATATGCTGAGTTTAGTTTAGAAATGCTTAGAACAGTTAAATGACTGGACGAAGTGTGCTGTGACAGTAGTGTGGCACGCATGAATGAACATGTACCAAACATCAATTCTCTCAGATACTGGCAATCACTTCCTAATTTGTATTGCAGTTCCTAATGAAAGAATGCAGTTCACATGTAAAGGTCCTGTTCATCGACTCATTACTTCAATGGCAGCTTTGTCTGAGTAAGGATTGTAGCAGCTTGTCCAAAATCATGCAAATGTGTCTAGTATAAAAACTCAGAACTAGACTGTCAATTTACTTACAGTATGGCCGATTCACAGAAATGCCTAACAGTCACTCTGAACAATATTAAGCCCAGATTCTGCAAACACTTACGTTGGTAACTCTACTAATGTAAGTTACTCATAAGGCTAAGCATTTATAGGATTGGGCCAATAGTGTGTTTTTCTTAAGAAATTAACTTGTATTTTCCTTTTAACATAGGACTTGCTTGACTTTCGTTCTGAACTGAATTTGTTTTCTGTGTTTGAACATGCGTGCACACCTTTAAAATGGGCAGATATGCATCCAGCACAAAAATACTAACGCCTCTTTGGACATCGTTTACAGCTTAACTTTTTCAGCTATTGAAATCAGGGTGCATTCATCACCAAGACACTGTAATTGATAGACAAGAGCAGTAAATGCGTCATCTTGAGCTTTCCTAGTACAAACGAGCCAACTCTGAAATGTGTTAAATATCGTAACCCTTAGAGTGAGCAAAAATAAGTGCTTCTCCAGGTGAAATATCTACATCTCAAAATAGTTATGGTGCCATCTCTGTCAAAGCAAAGTAGGCAAGTCACACGTGAAGGGCAATGGGCAATAGCTGTACATGCTGGTCACCATGAGAAACATGATATCTCCCGATGGTATTTGGAATACATCCCCCGCCCCACCCCCCACACCAGTACACGGAGCCTAATAGTTTAGGCTCTTCCCAGCTAATTAGTGCTAAATTGTTCACATATAGAGTTTCTCTTTGTATCAACATGTCAATTTATAATCCTGCTTGCAACTGTTTTAAGTGATTCATTCTCCCCTTCACTACAAAAAGCCACTAAAGCAAGCTGGTATTTAAGTTTAATTTCCCATGTCACTTGTCTTAAAGAGCAAAAACAAAAAAAAAGTTTAGCATCACTATAATCATCTCGATTGCCTCCTCCCCAGCCAAAAAACCCAAACTCGCCCACAAGTCTTCATCTCCCACTAGCTTTGGAAACGCGGGGATCTAGGAAATGCTGCATACCCTACATGTAGGGGAACTGCCATACAGCCAACAGCACTGGGGCACATTTCTCTCCTCTCCTCCAATTTCAGGCAGCCTCCATGGAAAGGAGACAGCATGAGGGATGGGGGGAGAAAATCTAAGTATGAACCACACTCAAAGGAAATGCAGCAGGCAGCGGATGGGGAGGGAGCCAGCCCCACCTTGCAAGAGAAAAGTCCCCGCAGCCTCTGACACCGGTTGCACCAGCCCTCCCCGATCGCGGCCACAAGCCAAAAGCCCGCTCCGCGCAGCGGAGGATGCCCGGAAATGCCCCCTTGCCCGGGGCAGCAGCAGCCTGTCCCTTACCGTCCCAGCTCCGACTCCAGCTCGAAGTAATGCGCCAGGGTGTCTTTGTTGGAGCCGTCGATCCAGTAGTCGGGCGCCCTGCCCGCGGCGGAGGAGCTGGAGGACGAGGAGGGCATGGTGACTTTCAGCATGCCGGGACTCCGGCCGGCCGGCAGCTGCTTCCCCCTCGGGGCGGGCCAGGCTGCGGAATCCGAGCGAAGGCGGCTGGGCTCGGCGCTTCCCCCGCCTTGCCCTCAGCAGCGGCCGCGGCTCCTCTCCAGCGCGCGGCGGGGAGGTGGGGACTGGCTGGCGGAGGAGCCCAGCGCTGCCAGGAAAACTTCCAGCCTCAGCAGCTGCTGCTCTGCCAGCCGCCCGGGAGAGGCAGGCGGGGACGGGGGTCCGGGGGCGGCAGCAGTAACACACACAGCGGTGGGGAGTGGGGGCTGCAGCGCCCAGGGGAACCCACAGCAAAGCCGCCCCAGCCCCCCTGCAGCGGCTCGGTCCTGGCGCGTGGAAGGTGTGAGCGGGGGCATCCAGGGGCGGGAGCAGCCTTTAGAGCCCCGCTTGCGGTTTCTTTACTTGCTGGGCTGCCGCTGCCATCGCCATCCGCTTCCCATTAAAGTGATGCTGGAGTCAGTCCCGGGATCGGCTGAGCGAGCGCAGAGCCTGCCTCTGGCATCGGGCCCCCAGCAGCCTCTCTCTGCCTGTATGTGAGCTCCAGCCAGTACACCAGGGTACCTGCCTGCCGCGCCGCCTTTCCCCGGGGCCCTAATGCGCTCTGGGTTCCTCTCCAGCCCTCAC